GTGGCCGTGCCCGGCCCGGGGTCGAGCCTCCTTCCTGCAGTCCGGGGAGGCGCTGGGCCTAGTGCGGCCACCGCTTTGGGCACATGCCGCAGAGACCCGTCGTGGAAGGGGCTGCTTTCTGCCCCTTACTGAGCACGCCTCAAGGGGCGATCGCTTTTCGTAGCCCTCTTGCTCCTGGGATCTAGTGTTTTTGCCCTTTTGGGGCCTCACGAGCTTTGCGTTCCAGCTTGCAGGCGGTTTCGGAGAGGCGCCCGCACGGGCCTGCTTGGCGCGGGGTTGCCGCTTGGCTGTAAGGCGTACGTGGTACCGGGACACCTGTCCTGGCTATCGGCAAACTGCCCCGAACCAGCATGAAGCATCACTGAGCTCCTAACACCCCCTGATCCCGACCTCCGCTGCTGCTTGCAGCTTTTCTCTTCCCGTGGCGACGTGGCTTCCCAGCAAAGCAGAGTGCTATTTGGGGGGTGGCTCCCACGCGGCGTCTGGGAGTCGTTCCTAAGGTTTCCAGCCCCGTCAGGGCCCGAGCTGTGACATTCGCAGAGCGGCTCTGGGCCGGGGGTAGAAATGCTGTGCTTTGCCCCCGCAGCTGGGAAAGGAGAGGACGGTGGCAAACCACCACGGAGAGGCGGTGTCGGGGGCGAGAACAAGCTGCCCTTGGTGCTGCCCGTAGAGCCCGGGGCCTGGCTTGCTTTGCTGGCTGAAGGAAGCGAGATGCCCGCACAAGTGATCTGGAACGGACCTTGCCCCGCGTTGAAGTTTCACAATCTCCACGCTGATCCAAAAGGAAGGCCGTGTAGGCTGTGGTGGTTGGTGGCTAACGATGCTCTGTATTTACCCAGCACCTTATCTACGTCTCATAAATACCCCGCCTTCCCCGGACTATTGCGTGTTTGTTTCTTCTGCAAAACAAGGAAGTGCTCACGAGGGCTGTGACTTGTCCCACCGAGTCGCAAGCGTCTGGGCCGTGCTGGAGGCAGGGCTCCCAGCATCCCACCGCTGCTACCACAGACAGGCCACGCTCTTATCTGGGAGCTGGAGCTGAGCCCTGTCTTGCATTCAGTTAATTCTCAGCGATGAGTCTGCAAATCCGGGTGCACTAGATACCTCCCTTTTCCTTAGGGAACTGGGGAAGACGGATCTCTGTCTCGCCCCTTCCCTGCTGTTGTGCTGCCGGGTGCATGGACTCAGTAACCTGTGAAGGCCTCGGTCTTCCTGTTGTAATGTATCTTGTGCCCGCGTCCGTGGTGTTGATAAGCAGGGCTGTCGTAGCAAACGGCGTGCTGGTTGTGGAGGCGTGAAGGCGAGTAGTGGGAGGGTCTGAGTCTACGAAAGCGGGGAGGGAAAGTGACTGGTGATGGAGGTGCGATGGTGTAGAGCCAAGGAAGTGTTTGACCCCAGTACTCTTTCCTGCTGTGGATGATCTACTCGGGTCCCTTCCGACCCTAGAAACTATGAAACTAAGTGCGTGTGAGGTGTAAAGCGTGTCCACGTTATACCAGGCTCAGGAGCAGACAGACATGCAGTCGTGTCAGGGTGCCCCATGCAGTAGATGGCTACTACAGGACCTCAGTGCTATCCCGTTTAAAATCTCTAGCAAATGGCTAGCTGTGGACGGACGCAGACAAACCCTGCACTGGTGTAGCTTGCTCTTGGCTCGACTCTTTCAGGGGTCATCCTCCATCAGATTGGGTGATGTTATTCCAGTTCAAGGAGTTGTCATTTGCCCTCTACAGTGGGTTGTACTAGGGTAAGTGTTGGATCCGTCCATGCCCCAGAGACAGCTTTTCTGGGTCTGCTCTGTCCCCCGCGGGGCTTGCAACGCTTCTGTTCGCTTGTCCGGTCTAGCAGGACGTGTTCACCGCGCCCTGGGAAAGGATGGGGAAGATGTCCGTGATTGCCAGTGTCCTCGAATGGTCCCACAGGCCCGTGGCACTCGGCAGCAGCTCACCGTCTTGCACGTTTCTCTCCTCTCTGCAGGGTACGATATGGCTGAGTTCATACGTAAGCAGGGGAAGAGGCAGGACGACCGTGGGCTGGGCAGTGTCATCGACTTCCTCTTGGCCAACACCAGGCTGGTGCTGGGGGTGAGCGGTGCCGCCGTGCTGGCCATTGCGACTCTGGTGGTGAAACGGGTAAGGCTGGCTGCTTCCTCCTGGAACGGCATCGGCAGGTCGGGTCCTGGGGATCGTCAAGCTGGGGCAAGCCGGATTCTCTTTCCAGTGGCTCGCGGCCTCCCTTGGACAGGCTGACCTGAGCCCGTAGAGTCCCTGTAGTCCCAGCATCACCAGAGCCAATGGGCCTCCCTCTGAGGGATGGGAGAGGACATCAGAGGATCTTGCCCAGCATCTCCAGAGGTTGCTTGTTGTGGCAATATGTCTTTGTTAGAGACGGCGATCCTTGGGCATCCCCTTCTCCTTTCCTGCCTTTGAAGATTCAGGGTGCCAGATCCCCTCGTGCAAAGGAAGGGCAGGTGTCCGAGTGGGCTGCCTGTGCTGCGCGCACACGAGAGGCTCCGTGGGGGAAAGTCCTACTCTTTACAGCTTGAATAAGACCTAGCAAACTCTGTGACTTTCCCAAGGCAGCAGAGCTGATCCGTGGGGATGGGGGGGAATCCCGACCCGAGGTATTTTGAGAGCGGCACCAATGAATCCTGGGGGCTTTTAGCCTTCGTTGCACCCTCCACAAGCCTTGAGGCTCTCTCCATAGCAGTGTGAGGACACCTCCAATACTGCTGCTTTCTGCCTTGAGACCTCCAGTGCTGCAATAAACGCTAGCATGCAGACCCGCTGGTTTCTGGTAGGATGGATGCTTTAGCTGCTGAGGTGGGTGCAGTCATTCGGATAATAACAGCTGGCAGGAGCAGCGATACACTTGCATACCTTCCTTCTTCCATCCCCGCCCCCAGATGATCGACCGAGCCACCAGCTCGCCTGACGAGGACGATGCCAAAGCAGAGCAGAAGTCCATCGAGGAGAGCTGGCAGGATCTGAGTTTGCTCAAGGCACCGCAGAAGCCCCCCAAGAAGCCAAGCAGGGAGGACCTTAGCGAGCCTCTGCCTGTAACCCAGCCTGCCCAAGGTCAATGTCCTCGCTTTTCCCAAGCTTTAGGTGGTGTTAATGTCTCCTTGAAACCTCGAGCCGCCCTGGGTGTTCGGTGCATGTTGCTGCAGTGTCAATTTATTGTCCCAGGTGGCAGGATCCTGTCGTAACCCCTCCACCCAGGGGTTCAGGCTAGCCTCCTGCTCCTGAAGGACTCTCTCTGCTTCCCCTTCCTCTGCAGCTGGCCCACCCCACACCCAGCATTTGCCTGGCTTCCCACGGGGGTAAATTTGCCCGTGGTCCACCGTGCGGCTGGCTCGTCGTGGGCGCCCAACAGTTCTGCGCTCGTTGCTGATCCACGTAGCAGAGCTGGGTATCTTCACTCCCGAGTCCCCCTGCCATGCAGGCCAGGTAGCGGTGAGGTGAGGTTTATCTTGAAGCTGTAAACCCTGGTTGCGGCTTTTCTATAGAGACTCCCAACCGTTAGTCACTTTTGAGCCTCCAGGATGTCAAAATGCCACGTTACAGAACGATCACCTAAATTATACTGATATTGTGCCTGTCCCCAGTGGGATTTGGGCACCGCAGTAGACCTCCAGAAGACACTCCCAGAGTCCTCAGCGTTGATCAGTTTGCTCCCTTCAAAATGCCACCCTGGTATCTGCTGCTGGGGCTGCTTGGTATGCTGGGATGCAGGTGGGCAGGTGTCTCTCGGTCTACGTATCCGTTCATAATCTTTATTCTCTGCCCTATTGCAGAGCTACGCGAACATCCTGCCTCCCTGGAGACTCTCTGCGTAGAGTCCAGACCTCTGCTTTGCCTCACGTTACAGGAGAAACTCCTCTCTTACTATAACAACCGCGCTGCCGTCCCAGAGCCGGAAGCAGCCCTGGGGAGGCAGCTTGCAAAGGACGTCTGTGTGGAACTGCAGAACTTCCTGCAAAACAAGTACCCGGAGCTGCCCTTTGGCAGGATGGTTCTCAGCGGTTCCCTCCTCAACGACCTCCAGGTGGTTGCTGCCGACCACGTTGACTTCCTGCTGCCTATGGCACTCGAAGCTGCGCTCTGGCAGCTGATCCCTGGGGAGGACACCGTTGTGAAAACCCCCCAGTGCTGGATGATCAGGCGGACCGACTTGGAGTACTTCCCAAGGGGGAGCAGTCCCTGGGACCGGTTCCTGGTGGGTGGGTACCTCTCGTCCAATGCGCTCGGTGAGACGATCCATAAAATGCTGGAGACCTCCGTCAACTGGCCGGCCATAGGCAGCATGCTGGAGTGCGTCATCAGACCGACGGTGGCTTCTGAGGACCTGACGCTGGAGGTCGAGCACTGTCGGGTTCAGCTGAACGTAGCCCTCTATCCAGTGGTGAGGGTGGAGGAAAAGGTTCTTCTGGCCAAGCCTCCCAGGGGACTTGTGGAAAACCTCTGGCAACAAAGCTTTTATGCAGCGGAGGTCTCCAGACTCAAAGATCTGGATGCTGGAGACGCGGGGGTCAGGCAGCTCTGCCTCAAAATCTGGAAGGCAGTCTGCAGAGACCACCCCGTCTTGGGCAGACTGACTGGCAGTCACTTGACTCACGTCCTCCTCCACCTCAGTGAGGTGGAGCGGGACTGGGCAGAGGCCACCTTGGCCACTAGGTTCCAGCAAATGATCGAGGAGCTGGTGGGCTACCTGGAGAGAGGCTTTCTCCCGTGCTATTTCGACAGTAGAATCAACCTGTTCCACGAGCTGCTGGAAGAGGAAATCGATGAGATGGGGTACGCGCTCTACAGTGCTGTATCCGAGCCAGCCCTGCTGCTGAAGGAAGGTGCCTGTAAATGAATTGCGAGGCTGGAAGTTCCCGAGTGTAGGTTTTGCACGTCTCCGAGCTAAGTGGATTGCCGAAGTGTCTAACTCTTGTAGCTGAGGCCTTGCGCTTAATGAAAGAGAAGCAGGCACTTCCTGAACAAAATGTGCCTGAGTGAAGGGACAGGGGGATCAGACACGGAGCCCATCAGCTCCGGGTCTCCCAGTTTGAATCCGGCCTGTGTCTACAGTAATTAGGAGCCTGATGCCATCCATTTAATGACTGGGATGTCTGTGAAATGAGTTTGGTCTCTGTCCAGTTCCTGTTGAACTAGTATCTGTGCCAACCCCCCATCACAGCAAGGTACCTTCCACACCACCACGGGCCTGGACGCCAAACTTCTCATTCCTAGAGGCAGTTCCCCAGACTAGAGCGTTTGCTGGTGAGCGTGCAAGAAGCTGCACGTTGCCAGTGCTTGGATTATGCAGCTTGGCTGTGCGTAAGCTGGACTACAGGCTCCGGGGCTGTCCGGGCAGCTCTCACCAGCACTAAATCCACTCTTGAAGTGCCGGACTCCAAATGTATATTTGTGGGTGAGGGAGCAGGGGTTAAAACCCTCTTTCTCTAAGCAAATGTGCAAGCCTGGCACATTTGCCATTCTGAAAAGGACTTGATGGAGAATAGGTAGTAACTGAATATGCATTACCAGATAGATATTGCCATAGCAAATCCAGATGCAATCTTATTTGCTGAAGCACCTTCAATGTTAATACAGCTGCCAAGCAAAATGAGCTTAAATCCAGTTGCTTGTTCTGTTAGTGTTTAGCTCGTTTGGAGGAGACTGTTTTAATGCTATGTATTCAGTGCCATAACTTCAAGCCTGATGTTGAAACACCCTTCCCTAACATGCCTGTCTGCTACAAACCCAGTAGTAGGACGGGTTATGGCTGTTGAGGGAGAGGGGGATCTGCTTACTGCAAGGAGGTTCCCACAGGTCTTTCAGAATAGATGGGACTGAATCCTGCTCCAGCTTTGGAAGTACTGCAGGCTTGGCAGGTTGCTATTTCCCATCTACTGTGTTAGACTGGACAGGGCTCCCATTCCCAGATTGAGGCTGCGTCACAACACACCATCTTGACCGTGCCTCTCAGGTTTTCAGACAATGCCCTCTTATACGTGCGTTGCTGCTATTTAGAGAGCCCGGCCCCACAGACTGCTTGAAAAGCAGCGGTGGGCAGGCTGGGGGACAGCGCTTTAATTGGAAGGCTTGCTGTTGGCGAGAGTTGGAGTGATTTGTGCTGGTCTTTATTTTAAGAATAAGTTGCTTTTTTGAGTGGCTGCTAATAGGCTTATTTTGGTCCTGGCTCTGTTCCAAGTACTAGGACATTACTTCTGTGACTTCAGAATCGTGCCAGTTTTTCAGTGTGGCAGGGGGGTTACTCCTGCTAACTCTGAACGTATGTACTGTGACTCGGTTTTTCCTGCAGAGAGATTTCTTGTTTGTTTGGGAGCAGGGAGGAGAAACCTCTCTCTCTCTCCCCGCATCTCAATTTCCTGTGATCTAAAGATGACTTGATCTATAGGAACAAAAGCACTTCTCAAGTGCAATTCTCTAGCAATGAGAATAAAGCCTCACTGTCTAACGGGGTCTTTTGTGTCGGGTAGCAGCATTATATGTATCCAAATAGTGACACTCATATTACTAGAGGAATGAGTGCCTTCTGCTCCTCAAGTGATGCACACAAGCACGAGTTATGGTGAGCTGCCGTCTTCCCTTGCACTTAAAATTCTGCTTGTAGAAATGGCACAGAACAAGCTTATGGTCAGGACCCTTCATTCTAGCTCCCACCGAGCACAAGGCAGCTGGATGTTTTATATTGTTAATGCGCAGGCCCTGCTTTTTTAGCCAAGTGCTTGGAAAATCACTTCAGGTGCCCAAATGCCACCTACCCTCAAACCCCACTTCCTCTCAGTCCACGCAGCTGGGAACAGCCCACACTGCTAACACACATTCACCATACTGCTTGCTGGCCAGGCACCTTTCTTCTGTCCATGGCATTGGCTGCAGACAGTATTGCTGCAGCCGTAATAGTGCTGACAAGTTCTGCCCTGGTATCCAGCCAGCTGGGTGACTGCATCACAAAGCTTTTTTAATCTGGTTGTTCTAGCCAGCAGGGCTAAGGTTTATTTTTAGGCTATACTTGCTTGTAGCAGTGGGAGTGAGGGAAGAAGGGAGTAAAATAGTACATGCGGTATCTCTGCTGACCTCATTCTGTGTGACTTAGGCGCAATACTAGGAGAATCACTGCAAAGTTATTTGAAGGTGGGGAAGCTGCCAGAATTCAATATAAGGAAAGATCCTTTTTCTCCTCCCTTTCCTGGACCTTGGGCATATTTTAAAATAGGATTGATTATCTGGAAAGAAGATGGAAGCAAGTCTTGTAGCTCCACTGACTTCAGAGTTGTTCCTCACATACTCCACAGTACAGTGAAACCAGGATTATATGTCTGTTGGAGTGAATGACTGGAGGTGTATCCATCTCCACCCTCATTCCACCCCTCCACCTCTTCTGGCTGCTGACCCTTTACCCTCAGACTGACAAAGGAATTGCTTTTTATATTTAGAAAGCTATGTAGTATTTCTGGACACTGGTAGCAGTATCTCCATTAACTCTGCTGCTATGGAGGGGCTGGCTTCTTCCAGACCTGCAGGAAAGCAGTTGCATTCAGCTTGGGAAGAGCTGAAACGAAAGTTGTATGTTTTTATTTTATTCTGTACAGTCACACTTAACCATTCCAAAACCAGAGCTAGAACTTCAATCCAGCAGTCTGGAGAAGAGGAAGGAGTTGAATAGCCTGCCTGAGAATCCTGCCCCTTCCGTTTCAGGCACCTGCAGTGTCCTTTTAACTGGCTTTCTAGTCTGGAGCAAGACCAGGCATCAGATGCAGTACATAAAAAGCAAAGTTCAGGCTCAGGTCCCCTTCCTTTTCTCCCCATTCCTCCCCCAACTTTGCATATCAGTTCTAAATAAAGCTGCTTGGGCTGGCTGCCAGACAGCAGCCATGTTCCTGAGAATGAGGGAATGGAAACAGCTCAGTCTGCACTGGTTGCTCAGAACTCCCTTACTAAGTTTGTCAGATTTGTTAATGTATGAGGTGGAAACAGTCCCTGGCCACTGCTAAAACTTTACCACAGAGGCAAGTTAAAAAAAATTCTCCTTTTAATCAAAAGCATGGTGACCTGATCAAAATGAACTGTGTGAGCCAGCAGCTCCCTCTCCTTCCTCTGACAGCTTGAGTGAATGTGGATCACAGCTCATTTCCTGGCCCTTTACATGGAGCTTTGCCTTTGGAAGACAGAGCCAAGACTGGCTTTCCCTGCAGCTCTTCCCATTCAGAGGCAAGGGACAGAGCTGGAAACAGTGGAGCAGGTCAGTCAGTATAGCCTTTTCCCATCTTATGTGTGATATGAACATTGAAGGGTAATTGAACGTATGAAGTCCCATGTTGAGGATTATGTGAAGCTGGCACTGTAGACGGCATCAACCTGACTACTCCATCACCCTAAAAGATGGATTTTTGTTCTTTTACTAACCGTGGTGCTCCCCTTCCCCCCCAAACACAACAGCCACTGTTCAGTAGCAGTCAGCTCTTAAGTTAGCAGCTTTTCTTTTCTGCCCTTCAGGAGAGCAGCCAACACTATAGCATCTTGTCCAAAGCTGTCTAGGAACAGACCCATCATGTGCCTGTAAATATAGTGCTTAAGACAAACTCTCCCATAAATCATCCAAGAGACAGCAGCTGAGCCTCCTTCAGAAGTGAGTCCAGCTTTCAACTGGAGCCGAATGAAGCCTCCAGCGGTTTGTGGTGCGTGGAGTATGCTCCGTCACCAGCAGCAGGCAGATTTCTTAGCCACCATTTCCAGGAAGGCAGGCACGTGAGGAATCTCTGCTGCACACTGGCTTTTAAAATCCATTTGCCCACTACTGACATACCCCAGGACTCCAGATTGTTCAGTTTGCTTCCGTAAGGGTGTCCTGCCTCCCTCAGTGGTTCTGGGGACAAGTCTTCCTGGTGTGACCAGGCTGGTGGCAAATCCCACAGGTCCGTGGTCTCTTCACGGTTGGCCCCTTCGAGGAGAAATTATCTGGTCTTTTAGCTTTGCTTCCTGCTCCTCTTGGGAACCCCTGGTCCCCAAAATGGTTTGAAGAGAAGTCCACAGATGCCCCTGTACAAATTAAAACACCATTTGTATTATATCTGTGCACTTTTATACACACCCCAAGTCAGCAGCTGTGGGAGTCGAGGACAGATGCAGTTAGGAAGCCTGGGTTCAAACTAGGAGTCAGGGTCAGACATTTATTATCCTCACTATTCAAATTGTCCTTGAATCCAAAGCTGCTTCTCTCCCATGGCTGGCTGTGCTAGGGCAGGATATCCAAACAGGAAGCTGCCCCCCACCCCCTTGTTAACATGATCTAGTCCAGTGGTTCCCAATCTGTGGTATGTGTACAACCTGTCAGTGGTATGTGTTAACAGAGTTGTTATAATTTATGACAAAAATTTGCTGGTGGTACTTAAGGTGGTATCATTTTAAATTGGTAGTGCACAGTCTGTCAGAGTTTGGGAACCACTGAGCTAGTCTATATCCAAAATGGGAGCCCCACAAGTTATACAAAAATAGGGTCAGCTGGGCCCCACTGAGACCACCCTCTGTTCTAGGTTGCGCCTGCCCTAAGCCAGCCCTTGTCCATGGTAAAGCCTGAGTTTTAATAACAGCTGTAGTCATTTCACTCCCTTACCAGTTTGCTAGAAATGCCAGCTCATGAGTCCCTTCTGCCAGGAGAAAGCTGCTGCATATTTAAGCGGGGCCCTCACATCCCCTCTGACAATCCTGTATTTACTATAACTGGCAATGACCAATAATGGTCAGGAAGTGCCCATTTCAGGGCCCCAGGCTTTGTGATCTGATAGCACTGCAGGAGGAACATGATGAAATCAACTCCCCCTTGTACAATCACCATCTGTGACAGAGGAGAGCAAGAGAAAGGGAACGCAGAGGCAGCAGCTCAGCCTCCCCAGTGGGTAAGAGGCAGCTGTAGCACCAGCAGAGGGGAGATGTGCTCCCCCTCTCAGTGTCTTCGTCTTCGCTTCCTAATATCTGATGGCATCTGACAAAGCGAGCTGTTGCTTATGAAAGCTCATGCATCTCTAAATTGGCCTATAAGGTAAAATTCTGCCCTGCCTTTCTTTAGGCTTCTAGCTAACCTGGCTAAATACCTCTCTCTGCTTCTTCACAGCTGACTGGGAAGGCTTTCCCATGCACGAGGTCAGTTTTAGGTGAGCAGTTTGGTACTGCCCACCCACTTAACTGTCCCAGCAGGCAGTGTCCTGGCATATGAATGCATCGGCTTAGAATTAAACTTGGAGCTGGTCCATACCCTAACTCTGGTTAACAGAACAGGCTACTTAAGTCAGGCTCTGAGGTAAACTGTTGTTACAAGGTGACTTCGTTGCAATTAAAAGAAGGGAACACATTGCCTTGAAGGCTGAGAGGTTTCAGAAAGAGGGAAACTATCCTGGTCCTACTGGTCATTTTGTAGATGCAGGCATCCTTTTATGGGCCCCATGTGTGACACATGACCTGTACTGTCCTTCACTGCTGCTTTAAAATTCAACCCCCAGCCACTGTCTCCCAGTCTCACCTGGGGCCACATTCTCGTCTGCCCACAGAAAGAAGCCGCACTGCTGGTCCCAGGGCTTTGGGCAAGTGTGGAACTGCCGCCCTTTGTTGGGTCCATCCTTCTGGACCGTGCGTGTGATAGCTGGCTGGTTGCAGTTGCAAACATTGCTGCCCCCTCCTCCAGCATCTCGACTGCTGCTCTGGTAGTGTCCCTGGCCTCTCCCTCCTTCTGGGCTGTGGAAGCCCATAGGGGACCTTTCACCAAAGGAAGCTGGCGATGCAAAGCCCCCAGGTGCTGCATTGTTCCTGTCCTCGGCCTGCTGATCCGCCCACAGGAAGAAGTTGCAGCTGCTAGCACTGCACTTGTAGAACTGCCTGCCTTGGTTGGGCCCATCCTTCCGCACGGTGAGCAGCACTGCCGCCTGCCCGCAGTTGCACATCACTGCATTGTTCTCGTCAGCAGCTACAGCTACAGCCAGGCAAGGAGCAGTGCTGGGCAGCCTCGTGGCCCTGGGTCCTAGGAACCCAACTGGCGGGTTTGTGGCTGGCCTCCTGTGGCCATTCTCATTGCTAGCCATTTGGTTAAAGGAGTGGCTGACTTGCAGGTGGTTGTCTGCCTGGCCGGCTGCTGATGCAGGTCGGGGCAATCCTTGTAAATACTGCAGGTCCAAGGTGTCTCTCAGCAACTTGTCGCAGCCTCCGATGCAGCCAACAAATTCCAGGGGCAGGAGAGGGGGGGCACTCCCTTGCTTGAGCTTAAATTTCAGCCTAAGGAGATGGAAGAATTCAAATCTCTCTCGGCTCACAGGGTTCTCTCTAGCCCACTGCCTGTACTGGAGCCCCAGGGATCTCTGCTTATTCCTCTCTTCCCATCCTCCCCACAGCCATGTGCTACATCTATCAACTTTCTAGTCTAAAACAGTTAAGTCCACCTTTTATTTGGCCATAGCTATAGGCAGCACCCTTCCCAGTACTGCCTCTGTAGCTCTCCAAGCTGGAATGGTACAAGGACATGCACAAACTGTCCTGCCAGTATGTACTACAGATCAGTGTCTGGTGCCTCACTTGTACTGCTTACCTCTGAACTGGATGGGGCTTGCACACAGCACAGACGCTGTCGTCCTTGCTGACTTCCAGCACAAAGTCAGGAAACCAGACAGCAGCTTTGCAAGCAGGATATCCCATGCAGCCAAGGTAAAACCTGCAGTGGAATAAAGAGGGCAGAAGGAAGAAGAATCAGAGAACTTATCAGCCCTTCTACCCACAGCTGCAAACCTTCTAGGAAAGGACTCAGCCAGCACCTGCTACCAAGGGAAGGATTTGTAAAGCAAATGCATGCTCCAGAAAGAGTGGGGTCAGATGGACATACACAGCTCTGGCCTAAGGCACCTTGGTTTCTGAGCCTAGTAAGGAGGAGGCGGTGGCGGGCTGGTGTGACTTCACACCTTGGTATTGGTGACTCAGGCTGGTGAGATGCATTGCTAGGGGGCATAGCTGGTGAATGCTTTGCCCTATACTGAGCTGCAAGGGGAAGCCACATTAAAGCAGCACATGGGGTTGTGTTCTGCACCAGTGGAGATCACTGACCCTCCATTCTTCCTAGTCTTTAGGACCATGTCATTGTTGCACCGAGGACATTTCCGGATGGCAGCTGGTGTTTCGGGGTAGAGCTCCTCTCCTTGAGCCACTTCTCTGACTGTTCCAAAGTACTGAGACAAAGCCTGGTCCAGCCTAGAAAGAAACGCACACACATTCCCATTTGCTTCCACTGCAGTGAGCAATTGCTTCCTCTCATTTTCCACTAGCTGGAAGCTGCTATTTAGTAGCTGCCACTTGCAAGTGCAGTGCCTTTGTGTTTCCAACTACACAGTAAACACATTTAGGAATGTACCAAGGAACAATGCATCCAGGGCAGCCTCAGTGGGGGGTGCAAACCCACAGAAGTCAGTGCAGACTGACATCATCTTAGATGGACTGGATTAGATTCAGAACTAATCTAAACCAATGAAGGATTGTTACAAGGTACTGGTTCATGATAATGCAGCCTGCTCCAAGTCATTCCTTCCTTACAGATGCTTATGCATCTTACGCAGAATTTCAGGAAAATCATCTGGTGTGTTCAGACAGCAGGCTACGCCAGAGGTATGATGCCAAAGCATTCGTGTGCTCTATTGTTGTAGGAGATGTTTCCTAACACTCACTTGTTGGCTTTGGCCACTGCTTCAATGAAGACTTGCTTGTACTTCTCTATCTGCTGCCTCAGTACTACAGCCTTGTCTTTCTTTCCCTCGCAGATCAGTTTCAGGTCAGCCTCCAACTCAGCTCGAAGGTTAGGCTTTGACATCTCGTAGCCCATGGAATCGTAACCTGAGGAACAGTAACTAGCTGAGAATAGGAAGAAGGGATGAAGCCAGGACCTGCCTGCCTCATGAGAAGTCCTGTCCTTACCTTCTACCAGCCCCATGCCCAGATGGCCTGGAAGGAACCTCTGCTCTGGAGTGAGCCCCACATACATTCGTGCCTTGATGGTCTCAATGTGCTCAGCATGAGTGGCGTCAGTCCCTGAAAGCAGAATGGCAGCTGGTGAGCATGCTCACATGAATGAGCAGCCCTGTCACTGACTCTTCAAGGAGGAAGCTCCCCTTTGTGCAACACCAGCTGCTGGAACAGAAGACAGTTTACAGGGAGCGGGGTGAGCTCAATGGCTGCTATCGTCTCCCACCACTCCAGTGCCAATTGTAAGGGCCTAATGGGGTCCTGTACAGACTGAGCTGTGCAGTTTAGAGCACTGGACACACTTTGAGTCCCAGAGGGACTCCACATTTTGCCTGGAGATCATTCTCTAACTATTCCTTATGTTATTTTGGGAATACAAGTATCCTGGTTACATGCAGGTAACTTCCCCCTTTGCAAAACGGACAGATTTTAGATAACCAAGAAAGAAGAGGCGTATGAATGCCACCCTGCTAAGGACAGTACAGTCCATGTGCTACAGGCACTGACCAATGCCATGTTTGTCCATGAGTGCAATGAGATCAGCTTCTGTGAGGAGCTGGGGCGGGCTGGTCTCCCCATCCACCATCTCCACCGTGGTAGGTTGAAAACGAGACCCTCTCTCATACACTGGGATGACCTAAACGAGGGAGGAAGAAAAGGAAAATCTGTAGTGAAACCTGAACTGGTGCTATGCCTGTGAGGGATGTTTCTCACAGAGGTTAACAGGTTTGGAGTCTTGCATACAGCAGGTAAAAAAGAAAAAACAGGCTCAGGATGATTCAACAGTGCCTCTTTTGGAGACTTACAGACAGCACACCAAGATGTCTGCAAAATGAAGTCAGGCCTCTCTCACTTGAACACAAAGGGAGATAGCCACTGACACTAAACCCTAAAGAGGTTGGCAGATGCCTCCAGTCAAGAAGTGGTCCTACTGGTAACACGTTATCAGAGACTCCTAAGAACTACGCAAACTTAGACACGGGGGCAATATACTAAACTCACTCTCATCACACCACTTTTTCAGTTTAACATCATACATGTTCTTTGCTCACGGGCATTACCTTGTCACTCCACTTGTCATATGGGTACACATCCAGGTAGTTTCTGGCAAGGATCATTAGCCCTTGAGCAATAAACCGCTCATTGGCAATATCAATCTCCACAGTAGTTTCCTGTCCTTTGGCATCTTGAGAGCAGCAAGCCAAGAAATGACGCACGATGAGTTCATACAGTCTCTGCTCATTCCCCTAATGCCAGACATTGAAAGAAAAGGATGGAGAGTTCCCCTAGTTAAAAAAAGCACCATTCTGGTTTTCTTCATGTTTTGTTAGAGATCGAGGTATTTCAGTCTTACAACACTAGTAGGGGTAGAATGAAGCCTAGTCCTGCTGAATCTGGGATTCTTGGCAACAAAAGGGGAGATGCACGAACTCACAGGGAGTGCAGGTCAGAACCAAGAGACACAGGTCCATGCTTCACTGCTGACAAAGGCAAGCTATTTGACCTTTGTGCCTTAATTCCCGTCTGTAAAATACATCCCTAGAAGTCCTACTCCAAAGCCCTAGAAGATCTCTTTCTAAGGCACTTTAGATTCCAAATCACTGGCATGCCTTACTTCGCGGTTTTAGGTCAGGACCTGCTATATAGACACGAGTGGATTAGTTCAAAAGGAATTGCAAGAAGAAAAATGTCTGGTACAAAGAAAAGCAACATTTCCTCTCATCTAAGACCAAGGAGAAAGTGTTTTAGTGGCAGCAAATAGGATAAATAGGATAAACAAGGGAACTATAACTGAACATCTCACTGTAAGTCAACACACTTAAGTGACAGGAGGCATAGATTTAGAATCATAGAAAATTAGGGTCAGAAGGGATCTCAGAAGGTCATCTAGTCCAACCCCCTACTCAAAGCAGGATAAGCCCCAACTAGATCATCCCAGCCAGGGCTTTGTCAAGCCACAGCTTAAAAGCCTCCAAGCATGGAGATTCCACCATCTCTCTTGGTTTGGCTATGGTCAATCCTTCCAGATCATGGTGTATGCGAGAGGTCACACAGACCTTTGGCACATATGCCTAGGCAGAAGGTTTGGAGGAGTGGAGGCTGCCCAAGACCTTCCATCCCCCCTTTAGGCCACAGACAGAATCCAACGGCCAGATTGAGTCCAGACATTTGGCACCTCCGTGGCTATAGTTGTGTAAGCGTCTGGGAAAAGAACCTGCATTTCCTTCGTAGCAGACTGAACCACAAGAGACTCCACCACCTCTCTAGGTAACCTGTTCCAGTGCTTCACCACCCTGCTAGTGAGAGAGTTTTTCCGAATATCCAACCTCAACCTCCCTTGCTCCAAATTTCTAACTTAGATTATCACATTTTATTTGCCTTATTACTAAGGCAGCATATTTCAGAAAGGAACTTCAGCTGAAACACCCACACTAGAGATACAGGTATTTGAATTCCACCTGCTAACAAATGCACACCAAGCCCTGTGAACTTGCATTCAACCAGCACTACTGAGAAGTACAGTTGATAGCATATGTAAGGACACTAGTCAGCCCTGCCCTGTGTTAGACTCACCTGCAGGTTACAGGTGTATTTGGTGGGGTGAATGGGGGGGTGAGCCTGATCGGTTTTGGAACCATTCCTAGGTGTTGGCCCACCCTGGTCTAGAATTCTTTGTGCAAAAGCTCCCCAGTTTGGATCTTGGGTCTGCTGCTGTACCAGTGCAGACAGGCTTAATTCTTTGGGGAACATGTTGGTCTCAGTTCGGGGGTAGCTTATGTACCTGTAAGACAAGAGGGAATATGTACATCTGATGACAATCACTCATGGGATCCCACACCTTTTAAAGACATTTCATTCTTTCTAATAAGCTAGCACAGCAGGTTCTGGGAGACCCACCCTTGAGTATAGAGCTTTTCTGCCATTCTCATGGTCTCTTTGGCATTTATTTTCAGTTTGCGGGATGCCAGCTTCTCCAGTTCCTGTGCCACAATGAGACAGATAAGAACATGAGAATGTACTGCACGAATATGAACAGTCACTGGAGCCCACAGTCACAGCTCATTTCAAAGAAGTATTTTTAATATGATTGTATCAGACATACCACTGTGTCCAGAGGCAGGGGCCTCCACTTGCTTTTTGGTTTGCTACCAATCATGACAACAGTGGCTACTGGATCCTGCAGACAACATGAGCAGAAAGGAAAACCACACTGAAGTGTCAAAATGGAGAACTAAAAATGTGTCAGCTGAAAAGGATGCTAGAAACCCCATGGTTCAGGGTCAGTTATGTTTTCTTACCTCCATACACATCTGGTAGAGGACAAGGCATGCTGTGTGGTTAAAGAGTCGATTCCTCTTCCAGCTGAAGTCCACAATGGCATCCTCACGTTTGTGAGTCACTGCATGGAAAAACCAGCCACCATGTCAGAGATTTACATAGCAGAATTGCTGTGAGTTGACAAGGAAAGAAAGGGGAACATAGGCAACTGGGACATCTCCCCAGCTCTGTTTAATGACTGGGACAAAGCAAGAGAGAAAAATAGCAATGTTTTTGTATTACACAAAAGCATTTCCAATTCTTATCTTACAGGAAAACTCATGCTCTCTTTCCCTTTCGAAAGTGCTGAGCTGTGCTAGATGGCAAAAGCTTGTCACTGATATTCAGAATTTACCTTTTATTTTATAGAAGGCTTCAGGAACAAAGGCCTGTATGGCTTTAAACCTTTCTACCACAAATCCCAGAGTTGGAAACTGGCAGCTACCATAGCTGATTAACCGCTCTGCCAGGACATCAGGGAAGATTCTGGAGAGCCTCAGGGTCTGGAATCTGGTGAAGGCAGCACCTGGAAGGGAACAAAAGGGATCTCAGAACTAGAACATCGTAATTTTAGAAAATAATTACACTGTTTCAAGATTCAACCAATGCAAAAACAGCAAAAGCCCAGTCAGTATCACAGGAATACTAAAGAACTAACCACTTCCTTCAAAACCAACCACAGGGATTCTAATAAAGCAGCTGAAGACATGATCCATTTATTCATCTGTGATCTAAAAACCTGCCACCCAATTTTGCATTTTTGCCTTGAGTCACAGGGAAGTGTGGACATCTGGCTTTGATGCACCACCATCTACTGTACCATGGGAGCATGAGCAACATGATGTCAGTGCCAGCTCTTTATGCAGGAAAAGCCTGGTGGTAGGCTCCCTTTCTTATGCTGTAGTCTGAAGAAATTCAAATGATTTAATCACTTTTTTGAGCTAAACAGCTATGGCAAAGCAAAGAGCAATTCTGACCATCACCTCCTCTATTTGCGCACCATAAAATTCTAGCTTTCCTTTAAGGAGATGTTTACACAGTCCCAGTCTGCTACTAAGTTCACATGTAAGTTGTTCAGATGCCCACAACCTTCAAAAGCTGCTACCCAAACCCTGCTTCATACCCACGTACCTATTCTGAGATCCAGCTCCTGTCTGACATCGACAGCATCACTAATGTTCTGATCAGGCTGGGTGAGGTTCTCACAGGCAACTCGAACAGCATGTGGTGTGATCTCAGAAAAACGGGCTCGGAACACTTGAAGGCTTGGCATAACTGTCCGTTAAGGAGATAGATTGAAAAATTATTCATAGCCCAGTAAAAAGCAGCAGTTTGAGTGTTTACTCTTGAACCACTTTGTGGTAGGTCCAAAAATAGTATAAGTGTGCAAAGGGGCCCCTTCATTAATGCCAGCTCTGCAATGTTTATAGACTGATCTAGGGTCCAAAAATAGTCTCTTTCAGAGCACTGACATGTTATGATGTCCTAGCAATCTTTATATTTTTCATTCTTGTAATTCAAGAGAGATACTAATCTAGGAAGCCTGGGCCACTTTTACATCTTGCCGGTCAAAGATCCAGAGATAGTTCCCACTGAAACCATCATGCAGGGCCAGTTCCAGTTTCTGGCTCTTAATTTGTTTTGGCTGAAGGCCTAAAGTCATTACGGCACAAACGGAAACATGCTAACAACATCTCTGGCAGTGGGACAAGGACAGAGGAAATAATTACTTGAAGAGGGAAAAAATAAAAAAGTTTCTCTTAAGGAATCATTTTACTTTGAGTGTATTCATGCTCCCCCATTAACTCCTTCACATTATTTGAGAAGTGAATGGGCTCAATGACAATTAAGAAAATCTGCATGGGTCTTAACTGCATGGCTAGAAAGCTGTGCGCACAACATAGCTGAGAAAGCAATCAGTTCATGTCTGATGAGACCTCACTAGGAATTTTGACTGAAAGGAGTTTTTTGGCCAGAAAATGCTGATTTGTTAAAATGATTTCTCTGATCCAAGGGGGAATTTCTGGATAGAGAAAGAGCCCCACCCCCGAACCTTCTCCCAAATAACAGCCTATTTATTTACACATTTATATGTGGAAAGTTTTTGAAAGGTCTCATATTTGCTCCAATGCAGGACAAAAAACAATTTAAAGGCATCCCTTTACTGTGAAACGGAATTCCTGTTTTCCAGCCAGCCCTACCTCTGCTGCCCAATGCCATTACAAAGCAAGGAGAGCTTTTGCACCCAGAGCATAAGTTCTGGCAACACAAAAAAGTCTTTAAACGTATGATTGGGCTTTGGCAGCATTAAACATATTGGGCAGCCAAAAAAGGCAACCTTCACAGTGCTACTTTGCCACCAGACCTGATGTCCGGCCTCCACCAAGACTCCCATTTGTGGTTGCCAAACATGCATAAAGGTTTACAGATCAGCTACAGCCATGCGGATCTTTGGTTTGGGTGGTAGAAGCTCATGCTTTGGGATTCAGAAGTGCCCTGCGGCTAGTGGCCTGTTCTGGAGGGTCATGTTACATGAACATGTCCATGGTACATCCAGAAGCACAACCAGAGTATTCTACTTGGACACAGTGAGAGCCTTCAAGCAGCAGTCCAGGGCTAGCTTTTTAGTTTCCATTTTAAAGAAAGTCAGCCTGACAGTAAGACTTCTACCTACCAGCTTTGCAGACACGGATGATCTCAAAGCCAATGTTCTCTCCTTCTCGATCACAATCAGTCCAGATCACCAGAGCCTGGCATTGCCGGATTTCTCGTTCTAGGGTCCGCTGGGATGAGACAAAAGCACAAGACATGGTAAGTGGCTTACTTTAGCATCTAATTTAACTCAGAGGTGAATCACCAATAATGCCAACAGTCCAAGTGGATCTTGAAATTGGAGATATACCCATAGCAATATGTTTGTAATAGAAGATAGCTGTAATCACGCTTTCAGCAGTAGGCACCATAACCCATTCCTCCAAGTGTTGATATGTTTGTTATTGAGACTTACTGCTCACAGAGATGAAGTGGACCAGTCATCCACGTAGTTCCTGCAGTCTTCTGTATCGTATGCATCAGAAATTACCTGCATTAGTTATGCTGCAAGTTTTCAATAATTTTATGCATACAAGTCCAGCAGCAATCTTGCTAATTCTTGCTCAACTAATTAAATGATAGCAGGGATCCTGGTTTTCTCTTTTTAAAAATGAAAAATTCTCTGATTAAAATCCCCAAAATCCACGTTTTTCCATAATTAAAATGAAACACCATTCTATATCAGTTGAACACAATGTTTTATTGATAAATTGAAGAAATTTGGAAGCGTACCAGTGCCTCAATCATTATAAGATAAATTCTAAATACCTATATAGTTTAGTGTTTGATTTTTGTTTTCTTATTATAGGAAAAAAAAAAAATCAGAGCTCCCCCTGCCCCCTTCACTCACCAGGATGTGGGTCCAGATCTCCCCGCTGCCCCCACTTTGTAGTGCTGAGCAGCCCTGATATGCCAGTGGCTCACCCCACACTGCCCATGCCACTGTCACATCTGCCCCATGTGCAAATCTGGAGTCATGTGCCCCCAACAACTCCCCCTCTGGGAGACACACAAGTGGCACCCCATGCCTGATCACCGTCCTCCCACTCCCCCCAGCCTCTTGCAGGCTGGAGTACTGCCAGGCTGCAAGGGGAAACCCTAAGTTTTCTCCTTATCCTAAGTTTTTCTCCTTAAAAAGAAAAATCCACATTTTTCTGCGGCGAATGGAAAACCCAGACCCCTAGTAATTATACAAACATAAAACATGCTGTTTTGATGGTTTTAAGAAACACTGGAGTAACGATTCCCCTGGGACCTTTCCAAAGACAAAATTTGTATCTGGTTAGTTGGATAAAAATAAAGTTGACTCCTGCCATAAGCACTCATTTTTCTTCATTCATTCCCCAAAAAAATCACAATCTGAATTTGGATCGTGTCCTTTAGCATGTTTTTTTTTTAAAGTGGGATTGTTCAACACAATGTGACCATTTATATATTTATTACAATACAGGATTCTGCTCTGGTCCTGTTTTCGTACCATCTTCCCTGGTCTATGAGCAGATACTTTAATTTTAAAGGTAGCTAGTGTGCACACAGACTGAAAAATGTCAGTGAAAATACTGATATTGGCTAAAGCCCTGGAGAACTAAAGGGTATGGACAAAAGTCCAGTCCATTCTCTGCCTGCACCAATACTTGGGGAGCCAGCCTCTGAATTCTGAGTAGCAGGGAACCTTTTAGAAGGCAGGGAACTTTGTACCTTAATATCCACGTAGTTTTCAGGGCAATATTTCTCAATCTCAGCGTCAAAGAGCACCAGGGGGTTGCAGCTATGCCTGATAAATGGATGATAAACAGCAAGGATTAACAGACAAAAGGAACTAAAGCAGAAAAAGCAAGACGCTTAATGGAGCATGCTCTCTCTCTGTCTCACTACTATACCACTGAAGAATGATGGTTTCAGCTGCAACATTACTGTCCTCATCTTAAACTATTAGAAGCTAACAGGGAAATAGAGGCTAATACTTTTAATTAGATTTATGAATTATCAATAAGAACAAAGTTTTACTATAATACAACTTGCCCTTTTGTTTTTGGCAAAATATTTCAAGAAAGTAAGATGTAATATAGCCCATTTAGTCACTTCTTGGAAGTGATACAGATTTTGGAAGGCTGCAATGTTGTAGCCATGATGGACCAGGAAATGTACAAAAGCCAAGGATTTTTGTGGTATCTTTTACTGGACTGACTGTATAGTTAGGAGAGCCGTTGGACAAGTTTTCAGGCATGAGGAAAGGACAAAAGACCTGAGGAAGAACGCTTGATGCCTGAAAGCTTTTCCAAAGCTCTCCAACTATACAGCTGGGCAAATAAAATACTGGTAAATTGACAGCACTGATTTAGACAGAATAGGAATAAACCAGGCTAATTATAGAACCTCAGTGATTCAAGTCCCCAGTGGAAGGCTAACAGATTAAAAAGAATCCGTTCCCAGGTGGCAGAGATGGTGTTGCAGAGGTTAAACATTCTTACTCCTTCCATACTTGCAAATATGCATGATGGCAAAGACTTTGGGAGCAATACTTAAGAGAACAGAAGAGAATTCCAGCAGAGATCTTCTACTGGATAGGACATGACTTGGGGGACACTCTAATGTCCACAACACTTGACCTCTGAGAGACAGCTCTGATTCCATCCAGCCACAAGCACACACACGTTAGCCAGTACATTACAATATTAACGATCATACAGTTTCTGAGCTTGATTTTCAAATTGTCATTGCACTGCCTCTCTCAACATTAAAAGGAAAAAAAGCAGGCAGACAAATAGCTAGTCTCTCTGATTAGGGACACTAACCATTTGCGAAATGCAGTCTTAAACTCATGATTCAGCAAATGGCCCGAAACAGATGTCATCACCATAGTAACATCCTGCAAGAAACAGATTAAGGTAATTAGCACTTAACCTTTTCCCTTGCTAAGAGCTGTTTACAACAGCTCCTACTGTCTCCGGACACGATCCTCATTTGATGCAGCTACACAGTTTCTAGGCAGCTCTGCTTCTATTGGCATAATCATATTTCTCCCTTTGAACCCCACCTAAGTACTAGAAATATGCTGTTTTGTCTGACCTGGGAACTTTGAACATCTAAGTAACAATCAGCCTATACACAGAGCTACTCATCTGCTGATCTCAAAATGCTATTTTACAGATGAAAAATTAAAGCACGGAAGACTTAAGTGGCTTAAAGTCACACAGAGGGTTTGTGGCACAGGCAAGTATGAAATACATGCCTTTCCCACTGAAACACGCTGTTTTTACAGGAGATGAAGACTGCACAACACTGACCATGAAAACAGCATGTTTTCTGTGTGCTCCAAGTGAAAATTCAACATTTGTATTTCACAGCAATTTGGCCCATCTGAATAGCCAAATCCTTTGCATTGGCAATAATTCTTTGGTGATAATTCATCAACCTCTTGCGTTTTCCATGGATCAGGAAAGTTATAAAAGAAGTTGGAATCACTACCTGGCCAAACAGATGATAGTTGTATTCATAGATCTTGTTGAACCTGGACAAGCCTTCTCTCTAGAAGGAAAAAAAACACCAAAGAAGAGAAAAGAAAAAAAAAAAAATCACTGGATGTGAACAAGTGTAATGGAGCAGGTGGGGACATGGGACCAATGCAAAGGGAAGTCGGACTGCTGCAGTTCAGGTGTCCAGACACGTCAGTGAATCAATCACATTTAGAAATGGCATGGTGCATTGTCAGAGCACCAGCAAACCTTAAATTCACACCGCACTCATGGACTCGGTCAGAGGTATTACTGGGAAGGAGACTGAGCGCCTCATGCAGCGCAGTCAGCCCAGACAGAGGAGGATTTGGACAGAGCCTGAAAATATTATTTCAAGGTCACACTGAACAACTGCTCCCCTGCAATAAAACAAACTTTGTTGCAAATTCAACGCCTGCTTTTCCAAGCACGGTCTCCAGTTAGCAAGACTGGCGGTTGTTTAATCTAGAGGATATGAATGTTTGTGCACAGTCGTCTTCTGCAGACACCTAGATGGATTCCGAGTGCTAGTTCTCAAGCAGTCGATAACACGGTGTGCTTCTATCGCAACTTTCAATCTAGGATCTATCAGTGCTTTTATCCAACTTTAAGCCTCATTCAACCCCACCGCCAAAGCGCGGGAACCAGCAGACTGAATCAGAGTACTTTTTATTCGGCTCAAGCAACCACCTGCCAGGGGGCTGCGAAGACAATGGAGCTGGGCTGTTCTCGGTGGGGGCAGGTGACAGGATGAGGAGCAATGGGCTCAAGCTGCAGCAAGGGGAGTTGAGGTTGAATATGAAAATATCTCCCGTGAGCAGGGTGGTAAAGCACTGGCAGAGAGGTGGCGGACTCTCCATCCTTGGAGGTGTTTAAGACAAAGCTCTACCCGGGATGAAATAGTCGCGGCTGGACTCGCTCAGCGTTTCTCACCCGCCGCACTCGGCCGCCCGACAGCAGGTCGGCGATGCCCCGCGCCGCGTCGTTCTTCTCGGCCACGCACAGCACCCGCTGCAGCGGCATGGTGGCCGCGTCGCTCCACCGCCTCGCGGGCCCCGACAGCGCTCCTAGGCCGCGAGCGACCAGCCGGAGCGCCCGGTTCATGGCCCGCACATCCCCACGTCCCGCCGCCCCTCAGCGTCTAGCCGCAAAGCGCAGCAAGGCGCGCAAGGGCTGTGTTTACCTTTTACGTCCCGCCGTAAAGCGCCGACAGGACTGCGACTCCCAGCATGCCCCGCGGCGGCATCTGAGAGTGAGCGTTTACGAGTCCCAGTGTGTCCCGCAGCGGTAGCTCAGAATGAGGAATACAACTCCCAGAATGCTCCACGGCTGTACCCGAGAGTGAGCGTTTATGACTCTCAGCATACCGCGCTCAGAATAAGGACTAGGACTCCCAGCATGCTCCGCGGCGGTAGCTGAGGGAACGGCATGGAGGACTCCGACTCCCAGCATGCCCCGCGGCTAAACGCCTGCTCTCAGGGCTCGGAGCGGGAGCGGCGAGTTCACTTCCGGGTCATGGGTCGCCGCCCCAGTGGGTCATGTGACGCCAAGATGGCTGCCCGGTGGCGGCGCTCCTGAGGGAAGTGGCGGGTCCCGGGTGGTGGTGGCGGCGTGGGGCGTAGGGCGTAGGGCATCCCCGCGTGGCTGTTGAGCGAAGCGCTGCCCCTCAGGCTCCGTGAGCGTGTGAGGGGGGAGCCAGGCCCGGGGGCGGCGAGGGCTGGGCCTTCCCGCCCGGGGCGGCGGGGAGAGCCGAGGCCTGGCATGGGCCGGGACAGCTGCCTCCGCGGAGCTCTGTCGTAGTGGCGCCTCCTGGGCGCGGGGAAGGCTTTGCTCGTCCATGCCGTTCACCCCCACCCGGAAATATGATCAGCGCCCCCGACGTAGTGGCCTTCACCAAAGAGGAGGAGTTGGAGGAGGAGGCGTACGACGAGCCGCCTCTGCCTGAGGAATACTCCGTGCCCCTCTACCCCTTCGCCACCTATGGTGCCAATCCCTGGTCCAAGCTCTCGGGCTCCAAGTTCCCCCGGGACTTCATCCTCATCTCCGAGTTCTCCGAACAAGTGGGACCCCAGCCCTTGCTGACCATCCCAGATGACACCAAAGTGTCCGGTACGTTTGATCTCAATTATTTCTCCCTCCGCATCATGTCTGTGGATTATCAGGCCTCCTTTGTGGGGCACCCGCCAGGGTGCGCCTACCCAAAGTTGAACTTTGTGGAGGACTCCAAAGTGGTCCTGGGAGATTCAAAAGAAGGAGCTTTTGCCTACGTGCACCACCTGACTCTCTATGACCTTGAAGCAAGGGGCTTTGTGAGGCCTTTCTGCATGGCCTACATTTCCACCGATGAGCACAAAATCATGCAGCAGTTCCAGGAGCTCTCTGCAGAGTTCTCCAAAGCCTCTGAGTGCTTAAAGACAGGTAACAGGAAAGCTTTTGCTAATGAACTTGAAAAGAAGCTGAAAGACCTTGACTATACTAGGACTGTGCTGCACAATGAAACGGAGATTCAGAAGAAAGCCAATGACAAAGGGTATTACACTACCCAGGCTATCGAGAAAGCGAACGAACTAGCCAGTGTCGAAAAATTGATTATTGAGCACCAAGACTTGCTGAAGCAAATCAGGTCATATCCTTATCGAAAACTGAAGGATTCTGATTTCCATCCATACGAGCCAGAGTGTGCCCCGGATCAAGCGAATGCAAGTTTTGATCTGGACTCAACTACCTCCCACCATGATGAGCCTGGTGAAACGCATGTATATGCACGGTTGCCACCCTACACCCCTAAGCTCATCAAAGCAAAGTCTGCCAAATGTTTTGACAAGAAACTAAAAACCCTGGAGGAGCTCTGTGACATTTATTTTTTCACCCAAACTCTCGATCAGCTGAATCAGATAGAGCGAACTTTCAGAGGTGATGTCTGCTACCTCTTGACAAATCAGATCAACAGAGCACTTTTAAAGCAGCAAACTATAGTAAACTTCCTGTTTGAAGATGTGTCTGTCCTAGATGAGAAGCCAGCTGAAAAACACCCTGTTGGTTGTCAGGGTTGTCCTCAGGACACTCTCAACACCAAGAGTTTAGAAGAGTTTCCCATCCCAAAAGTGCTGATCAGCCTGGGATCTTACAAGTCAAGTGTGGAGTCTGTGCCCATCAAGATGGATCCAGAGATGGAAGATCCTCAGGAGCTAAAAGTGAGCGATCCTCCTGCTGAGGACCACCAGGAAAACTTGGAGTACCTGGATGCAGATATTAAAGGGAGCATCAGCAGTGGGGAGAGCATCGAGGTTTTGGGAACAGAAAAGTCTGCTTCTGTTCTGACCAAATCTGAGAGCCAGGCCAGCTTGCCCATCAGTTCAAGCCCCCACATGGTTAGAAACAAAGCAGTCAGCGGAAGAACCATCAGTGAGGACAGCATTGAAGTCCTGAGCACGTGTCCCTCAGAATCTCTGATTCCGGAAGATTTTAAAGCAAGCTACCCAAGTGCCATTAATGAGGAAACTTATGCAGATGAGGAAGAGGGAGGTATTCACTTCAGCCCAAGTTTAAGTCCTGATAATTTTGAAGAGAGGGAAGGCAGGTCAGAACAGGAGCACTTGCTGCAGGTGGATTCTGCCTGTTGTATTGGGAAAGAGAGTCCTAGCTTCCTAGAGCCTCTGCCTGACCTGGGACGAAAGCACTGTGATGACGATGGTGTGGTCAGCATTCCCCCGCAGCCATACAGGCAGGCAGACCAGGGCCTTCACGTGAACTTCTCAGACTACTTGTCCCACGATGGTGTCCCTGGGGGACTCCTCTCGTACGAACCCAATTCCCATTACTTACTGAACAGCCGAGATGTCAGTAAAATTAGCTTGGATGAATGCTCTGACTCCACAAGCTACATGAGCAGCGCAGCTTCCACGTGCTCTGATCGGACTCCTTCTCCTGCCCATCCTATCAGTCACTTCAGCGAAAGGCACAAAAAAAAAGCCGGCCAGAATGCCTTGAGGTTCATTAGGCAATACCCCTTTGCTCACCCTGCTATATACTCTCTGCTCAGCGGGAGGACACTGGTAGTCCTGGGAGAAGACGAAGCAATAGTAAAGAAACTGGTCACTGCTCTTTCCATCTTCGTTCCAAATTGCAGCGCATACACCAAGCCCGTGAAGCACTGGGTCACTTCCCCTTTGCATATTGTGGATTTCCAGAAGTGGAAGCTGATTGGGCTGCAGAGGTAAGCTAACGGGTAGCTTCAAACCCTCGGCATTTGCTGGGTAATGTCAGTGAAAAGGACTTTAGATGTTCAAAACCTCCTGAAGGGAAATGCATGGTTTTAAAGCCATGACCCCAGTCACTTTAATGGAGGGAAGGGGCTTGAATTAATGCTGCTTACAGATTTCCTGCTTATTAGGTGTGCCTGTGTGTCTGCCAGGGGAGGGATTGTCTCCAGTTCATTCCTTCCTAGAGACCCTGTATAACTAGCTTATCTTCCCAAGCATTCTGCTAGGTTTGAGCTTTCTGGTTCCCTTTAGTCAGTGAGGAACCATGCAGTGAAAATACCAAAGGTTTTAATCTCGCAAAGCAATGAAGCCAGTGCCTTGGTCCCTTTGCTTTGCTTGATCAGGGTGCCCCTGGATCAAATATTATGACCCCACTAGATGGCTCTGAGCCTCTCAAAAGTCTGCTTTCTGTGCACTTGAAGTTTATTTTAAACCAGCCTTTCTGATGCCGGAACTTCTGGTTTTTCTTTTGCTTCCTAACGTGCAGTGTGCTGCTAATGAAGCCGAAAGACTGAAATATCCCACTAGCAGTATAGTCATTGGAGTGAGGAAGGCTGCCTGCATGTGTCAGTGCATTTGGTAACCAGGTGGTGCATTTGGTGGGGAGCGGAGTACTCTGGGGAGCTTGGGCTTCACTATGACCATGCTTTGCTCTCTATCTTGTAAGGTCAAACCAAAGGCCTGAGTTGCTCAGTGCCCTACAAGGGTTGCAGTTTGGATTTTAAGGAGGCTTTTGCTTTGGGTGAAGGTTTTCCTAGAGGTCAGGTCTAGAAGAGGGTTTTACTGGCTGCAAACTCTTATTTTATTATTAAAGCTCTGGCTATTCTCTTGCTTCCTGTTATGAGAAATAGTCCTGCAACAGTGAGCTGGCATTTTTCTTTTCTAGCTTTCCAGGGTTAAGATGTGTGCTAGAGTGTTTAGCACTGTCCCTCTTAGCCTAGATGGGGAATGTAGAGCAGGGTTGATATTGCAACTGAGTGATGTGATAAGGGGTGCTGTGCTACAAAAGTAATCTGAGCATAAAAAGTGTCAGTCCAGCCTGTGGGATTGTTGTGCTTTTTCCCTTTCATGGAAGCTTCGACTTATGAAACCAGCTGATTGTTCAGCTTAGTCACCTGCCTGCCTAAGTCAGAGTGACAGCTATAACTGGGCCAACAGCAGCTCCTCAGATTACTCAACTTTACTATGGAAATTTAAAAACTTGTTGCCAGATGTGCGGTGCTTATAAGTGGGTGAGAGACAAGGGCTTTATACATGTTCCTTTTTAAGGGTTGTTTGAAGGAAAATGGAATGGTTTGCATGTGTGGCAATAGGATTAAGGTATGAAGGGCTTGACATGACAGATTCAGCAGAACATTTGTGGAAAATGCTTGGAAGCAGGAGGGGTTGATCTAGAACTATTCTCTGCAGCTCCTTTGCTTGGTAGCAGCTTTCCTACAATGATACGGTCCCAGCAGTGTCAGAGTCAGAGCTGAACAGTTCCTGGCTCTGGCATCAGAGTTGAGTGGGGAGGTCAGCACCTTTGGTTTGAGGTTGGCTGTGCCTCTCCCAACAGGCAGACCTGAACTGGGAGCCCTGCAGGGAGTTTGCGTAGGGGTGTAATATTTGGGTAAATGTCATGCAGCCCTTGGTAGATGATTCTGTGTGGTGAGTGTATTTTGCCTTTGCACCTTAGAGGGAAATCATCCAGCTGCTGCAGTGGAGCCCATGCTGCTTTTACCAAAGGATTCACTACAGGCAGAATCTCAGTAACATATGAGTGATTGCAAATAAGCCAGGGCTCCTGGAAACCCTGGCAGCTGTGGGAAAGGGACATCTAGAAGCAACAGCTTCACCCCCAGTAGAGAACGCTGGTAGCAAGATTTGCTTCTAGTCACTGGGGATTTCTCCTGGCTCCCTGCTCCTTCTGCAGTCCGGTGCATTGTAACTTGCCTGCCTGTCCTGGGGTGCAGTGTTGAGGTTCCAGGTGGTGAATGTGCATTGCTTTATGGATACCTAGTGTGCTGTGCTTTACTGAGAACTGGCAGTCCACTGAGGCCATCTGCTTCCATTTAAGTGGTGGTTCTGTTATGTGCCCACAGAAGCCCCTACCTGCTTGCTTTACAGACTGCAAGTGCTAGACTTGCCCTGCAAGACTATGGCAGTACAGCTCCCAGGGGTGTTAAATCTTCTTGGTCTGTGTATCTTTGTGCCTCCAAATCACCTTTCAGAGCTTCATGGCTTTCCTCCTCCTCACACTGTTTCCCTTGCATTTCAGAGTGGGGTCCCCTGCTGGAGCTAGCATGCTGCACTCCCTGACTCGCTACAGCCGCTATGTGAGCATCCTGGATGCCGACAGCAAGACTCTGCGCTGCCCCCTTTACAAGGGGACGCTGGTGCCCCGGCTGGCTGACCACCGCACACAGATCAAGCGGGGAAGCACCTACTACATGCAAGTTCAAGGCGCCCTCACCCAGCTGTGCTCAAAAGCCTTCCTGTATGCCTTCTGCCACCACCTGCACTTGCCCATCAATGAGGCGGAGGCAGAGGAGTCCATCGCGAGCCGCCGCATGAACTTCCTGAAACTCCAGCTAGGGTTGGTGAATGAAGACATCAAAATTGTGCAGTACCTGGCAGAGCTGCTGAAACTGCAGTACCTTCAGGAGCCTGGCAGGGGTGCCACCCCCCAGCTGCGGTTTGACTACGTCCCCAGCTTTTTGTACAAAATCTAACGGCCTCTGGGCGGCGAGGCTACCTCCACCGATTCTGGCACGGGTCCTCTGCGCTTAACAGCGATGCTCTTCGCAGATCCCTGATGCATTGGGGGAGGACACAGGACAGCTGGTGTGCGTGCACACAGGAGTCCCTGCTAATCTGAGCACTGGGAGAATCCTGCATGGTTTCCTGGGGCTGAGAACTAGAATGTGTCCTACCCCATCAGCCACGAGATCTCAAATGGATTGGCCATTCCATCTTTCAATGCTAAAGGGACGCTGTCAGCTTGCAAACCTGTGCACTAATGACACCGTGCCCTCCAGCCCTTAGCTGGGAGGCATGGGGAAACCCACTGTCATATTGGGGCGGGTGTGAATAGCAGGGGGCTGTCCCCCCTGCTGATAGGATCCTCTTCACTCATGCTCACACTATGCATGTTCTTGTGACATCAGCGAAAGCCTAATATGTTTTAAAAAGCCAGGTGGGTTTTGATTGTATTTTGCTGCCTACCAACAGCAAATATAATGTCCTGCCAATGTTGGGGGTGGGTGGGGAGGAACTTGACTCAAACCTTGCCACTGGGATCAAGGCTTGAAAGTATCTGTTCGCATTAAGGAATAGTTCAATGTCCCTCTTGCGTCTTCTTAGCTCATTAGCTCATTAACAGTTTCTGGAATTGCTCCCCATTGAGCCTGTCGCAGGGAGATCAAAGCGTGCATGTTTCTGTTCCCCAGAGTTTTCTGGTTGCTCAGCTTTGCTGGAAGGACAGGTCAGCAGTGTGTCCCTGATGGCTAGGTGACACAGCGGCCTACCCTGTTGGCACGAATGTAGAGCACCATGCCTTGTTTGTTTGCAACATGCTCGTGGCTTGAGGCTTGGATTGCAGGGTGGTGGGAGGGATGGGGAGGCCTGCGAGTCTTTAAAGCTGGCTGAGATTTTAGCAGCACCAGAGCAGGGTTGCCTTTAGGGACAGGTAATAGGCATGGGGGCTCAAGCCTGGCGACCCGGTAGGTGTTCCAGTGTCTTACAGGGAACGACGGGGCAATTTGCCGAAAGATGCACTGAGAGGGAGGGGGTGGGATCAAGGAGCTTTGGGGCAGGGGCCCCAGCTTATTGAAAAACTAGCGCTCAGGACAGGCCAGGCATGAATGTAACAGGTGACATGTTTTATCCTTTTGTAGCTGCTTGTTGGGGCCTGCGCTGTGCTTTAGGGGGAACAGGAGGTCCCCAGGCCAGCAGGCACTGCCTCCGCTCCACCTCCACCCTGGTTTGTTGTTGTTCAATGCCAGGCCCTTGGAATGTCTCCGCTACCTCTCCCATGGCATTTACCAGGCATCTCCCTGTGGCACTGATCAGACAGGGAGAGCTGGTCCCGTGTTGCTCTCTATGCCATTCCTCTCAGACTGCCGAGAGGACAGTGGTGCTGGCACATCCATGGGTTTGTTGTCAGCGCATAAAGATTCATGCTGTGCTTTTTGTGTGTGTTCATCTTCCATGCATCTCTCCCTTCTGTGAATTTCTCAGAGGAGGTTCCATTTCGTCAGCTCCTACTGTTTTACTCTGGGTGGTTGGAGGAAGCCTCTGGGGTATTCGTGGAGTGAGGGAGAAGTCTGACAGGAAAAGCTTGTCTTGATTTTATTCCTCTTTTAGCACTCTTCCCTGCTGATTTAGAGGGGAAACAGCACTTTTTTTTTTTTTTACAAGAGAAGCTGAAGTCTCTTTCAGTCCTCCCTAGAATGTGATTCCGTGGGACAGAGTGCTGGAATCAAATGTAAAGCTCCTTCTGTGCTGGGGGAAGCTTCGATGCAGGGGTTTGGGCTTCTGGGTAGATTTTAGATCACATTAGAACGCAGTGGGAAAGCTGCACTAGTACGGAATATGGAGCCCTCTTGGGGGACGATTGCACTGCATGCCCCAGTGCCCAGGGTGCTGG